TGCCAAATGGTTGTGAACATCGTTCTTCATCACTATTATCACGCACCCGCATAATATCGTATTGATCATACTCATGCTACCCATGCTACTTAATCAACACAATACCAAAGAGGATACAATGAATATCAATTTACAAAACCATGTCAAAAGTTTGTTCATTGATAGAAGAAAATCTGAGATCAAAGATGTGAAAAGGTTTTGTCAAGACCCACAAATAAGTAATCAAAGATAATCAATCAATAGAGAATCCAAACTAGTTCACAAACATATACTAGATGAAATACATAAGGTATCAAAAGATTACATCCAAACCCCAACAAGACATCAAAGATCTTACCTCCCCCCTCTTAGGGTTTTGTGTTTCTCTCTCTAAAATAGATGAAGAGAGATAAGTTCTGATGTAAGAAATGTTACAAAATAGATTATGACCTAAAAAGCAATAAAAATACTTAAATAGTACATTCAGGATCTGTCATGTTCGCCTAGCGAACAACAAATTAGGCACCTGAGGTGCCTCTGAACAGTTAAACCGCCCCTGAGATATTTCCAAATATTCGCTAGGCGAGGAATTCTTCGCCTAGCGAAGTCTTCGCTGTGAACTTTGCCTAGCGAGTTTATGGCCCTTTCGCCCCTGTCTCAAGTCTGGGAGTGTTTGCTAGAGCTTCGCTACACTTCGCCTAGCGAGTTCTTCGCTACATAGTTCTCCTAGCGAAATTTGTGAAGTTTTCTGGCAAGCTTCGCTAGGAGCTTCGCACAACGAGTTTCATGATGTTTTTCTGCTGACTTGGTTTCCTTGCCCAATTTCTTGTGTCTTAATTCACTTGTTTTGTGCCTAATTCCTGCACAATAACACACAAATCAAAGCAACCAAGACATATTCCAACAATGAAGCAAATCATCTAAAACTTGAGTGATTCTAATCACTTTTACCCACAAAAAGAGTGAAAGATGTCAATATTTGATATACCAAATACGCAAAATTTGGCATTTAACACAAGACCCTTCGCCGCTAACGCAAACAAGAATGGAGACAATGGGTCTCCTTGTCTAAGGCTCCTAGAACACTTGAAACCCTTGATCGTACTCCCGTTTATCAATATAGATAAAAAGTTAAATAATTGCTTTTATCTATAAATCAAAAGCTTTTACATTGATGACATTCATATTATTTCTAATTAAATTGTCAAATTTTGTTATAAATAAATGTTTATAAGCCAAAAGCTCATATAAATAAGTTTGTAATTAGTTATAATATTTATTTATTAATTTAAATTGTATTCTTAATATATAGAAAATAATTTAAATAATGTTTACACTTTTTTAAATTTTTTTTTTTTATATATGAAAAACAAGACCCATATAAAAAATTATATTAATATATTCATTAAAAGTTTTTTACACCAAAAAACTTATTAATAATAACTCAATAAAATTTTCAAAGAAAAGGTATTCAAACCTTACTTTACGTTTACATTTTATTTTTTATTTTGTTAAAAATATATATTATTATTTTTTATTAAATGAAAGACATTAAATTATTTCTATTTTGATATGAAAAAATAACTAATATAAAAAATTATATTTATATATTCTTCAAAAAATTTACACTAAAACACTTCTTAAATTTTAAAAAATGTACACTAACAATTTGTAATAGACAAAATTATTAGTTGGTCAATTGACTCTAAATTATTTTTATCTTCTAAATATATTATATTTGAATTGTCAAATATATTTATTTATTTCTATTTAAACGTTTATCATAAATATATTTTTAATTATGTCTCTTTTAATGATCAAGAACATATAAGTTTTTTAAAAATTCTATTTTTTTTGTTATCCTAAGAAAATGTTTATATCAAAGTTCTTGATATAATGTTTTTTTAGTGATACAAATAATTAGATAGATTTTTGCATGTAGAATCACATGCAAGTCTTTAGGTAATTAAGTAAAACAATCACATATGGCTTCTTAAAGTAATCTCACATGATAAGTTAGTGTTTTTATCTATAAAGTAAAAGTTTTTACATTAATGAGTGAAAGTAAGAAGTAATAAAAGTAGTTAATTTACAAATTTTCATGTAAGGAAGAGTTACTGGCTTAGGTAGTTAAGCTACCACAATCACATACAAGGATTTGTATGAAGAAGTAACTCACATGATAAGTAAAATAATTATTTTTATCTATAAAATAAAAGTTTTCACATTAATAACATTAATTAAATTGTCAAATTTTGTTATAAATAAATGTTTATAAGCCAAAAGCTTATATAAATAAGCTTATAGTTAATTATAATATTTAATTTATTAATTTGAATTGTATTCTTAATATATATACAAAATAATTTAAATAATTTTTACACTAATGATTTTTCAATTGAAGATTGCATTTTGTGGCATCTGGGTCCGGTCAAATATTCTATTTCAGGACTTTGTTGAATTATGTGAAAAGTCTTATATCTTATGATGATATTAAAACAATTAATAATGTAAAATACGACACTTTCAAAGATGCATGTTTTGCATTGGGCTTACTTTACGATGACCAGGAGTTTCTGGATGCAATTATGGAGGCAAGCTATTGGGGTACCGACAATTTTTTACGCAGGCTATTTGCAACTCTGTTGGTTTCTAATCAATTGTGTCGACCAAATTTTGTTTGGAATAACACATGGGAGCATTTGAGTGACGATATTCTACACAAAAAAAGATAACATTTTGAGTTTTGATGGTATTTTGTCTTAATTATAAATTTTAATTATAAGTTCTTCTAAATTTTACAGATTTGGTCTTGACTCTGGATCAATTGAAGAGTTATGCTTTGGCTGAAATTGAAATTTTGTTGCAATGCAATAATGAGAGCTTAGAAAATTATCCAGACAGGGCACTGTTACCAGAGAGACAAAATCAATTGATTTACGATAAGTTGAACTATGACAGTAAATCTTTAGATGAGGAGCCTCGAAAATTGATGTCAACAATAACAACTAAACAAAGGGAAATATATGATAGGATCATGACAAGGGTCGAAGAAAATAGGCTGGCTCCTTTTGTTTTGTTTATAGTTATGGAGGAATTGACAAGACTTACATTTGGAAAACAATGTCTGCAACATTGAGGTGGAAAGCAAGACTGACAATAACATCAAGTGAGATAGTTGCATTGCTAATTCATGATGGAAGAATCGCACACTCGAGGTTCAGAATCTCATTAAATGTTTATGAATATTCTATGTGAAATAACGCTAAAAGATCCTTTAACTGATTTAATACGTCGTGCAAAGGAAATCATATGGGATGAAGCACCTATGATGCACAAACGTTGTTTTGAAGCTGTTGATCGTACTTTGAAGGATATATTGAGAGTAAAAAATATTCCATTTGGTGGAAAGATAGTTGTGTTTGGTGGAGATTTTCGTCAGATTCTTCCTGTTATACCTAAAGGAACAAGACAAAAAGTTATTCACTCTACTATAAATTCTTCTCCTCTATGAAATTTTTGTGAAGTGCTTACATTGACCACTAACATGAGACTTCTAACCGGAGGTATAAATTCATACGTTGAAGAGAGAAAGAGTTTTTCAGAGTGGATTTTGGGAATTGGTTAAGGAAGTATCAGAGACGCTATATGATGAAGATATCACAGTCCAAATACCACAAGATTTGTTTATTACTAGCTTTGGTGATTCACTTTCAGCTATTGTTCAAAGCACGTATCCAGATATAATGGATAACATAAGTGATCCATCATTTTTTCAGAATAAAGCTATATTGCCTCATAAGAATGCAATTGTGGATGCCATAAATATCTACATATTGATCTAATACCTGGAGAAGAAAAAACTTATTTGAGTTATAACTTTCCATGTAATGCCAGGTCAGATGTTGACAAGTCAGATGATGTGCACACTCTTGAATTTCTAAACACCATTGTTTCTTCTGGAATTTCAAATCACAATTTAAGATTGAAAGTTGGAGTCCCGATCATGCTATTGAGAAATATAGACATGTCTTTAGAATTGTTCAATGACACTCGGTTGATAATTACAAAAATGGGAAGATATGTGCTTGAAGAAAAAATTATATTTGGTAGCAATATTAGTGAGAAAATTTTTATTCCAAGGTTATCACTGATTCCTTCAGATAAAAGACTTCTTTTCAAATTTCAGCGTCGACAATTTCTATTGATTGCTTCATTCGCTATGGCTATCAACAAGAGTTAATGTCAGTCGCTAAAACATGTTGGAGTGTATCTGACCCAATCAATTTTCTCTCATGGACAACTATATATTACACTATCTAGAGTTATTTCAAGTGTTTCAAAATGTTAAAAGAAGTGTTTCAGAATGTTAAAAGCTAATTAATAGATTTACAAAGAATCAATTAGCTATTATATGGACAACTATATGTGAAAATTCAAATATAATTGAAAATGTGATTTACAAAGAAGCGTTTCAGAATGTTAAAAGCTAATTAATAGATTATTTATATAAAACTATATAATTTTTTTTATAATATTTAAAACTTTTTTATTTTCATTCAACTATTTGTTTCAAAACTTATACTGTATTTGTTTCAAAACTATATATAAAACTATATAGTTTTGATGCTATGGTGTTCTGCCTTAATTTCTGAAATAACTATATCCCACTTGCCATAACTTATACTGTGCAATATCTTTTTTATGATTAAAAGTTGAATTCCAACAAATTAACATCATCATGACTTAAAAATATTGACTATTATTCATAACCAGAAATTTACATCAATCCACTAAGCAGCAATGACTTTACTTTTTCAATATCCTATACTATGCACAAAAGGCTTAAAAGATACACAAACTGAGTTTGGAATTACAAATTACTATGCACAAAAGGACTATATATTAAATAGCATGCATGTTATTATGAATGAATAATGAAATACTACTAATCCATGAATGAATAATAACCATGTTGTGACTGAAGGAGAATATTAATTGATTTATGTACACTTATTTAATTAAGGCCTTGGAAGCACGTTGGCGTCTGTGGGGATTGTTGGAGTTGAATGGCCGGCACCGGGACTATGACCAGGATCGGTTGGTCGGAAATCATCGACAAATTTCTCAGCCTCGACGCCGACATGCAGATTCGGTGAATCTAGTGTCGTCATCGTCGCGTCATTTTCTAACATGATGCGTCGCCAATTAATTATGTTTTCGTACGTTGACGAATACTCCAATTTGTTATGGGTTTTTATTATGGGTCTGGCAAGGGTTGAGATACATAAATTGAATAAAAGAATAGAAATTATTGTGAAGACAAGCTTGGAAATGGCCATTATGAAAATTTGAGAGTGAGAGGTTTAATTGTAAGGAGAGAAAGTGAAATGTGTTTGTAAAATGTTGTGTGCGCAAAGGGTATATATAGGCATGGAGAGAGTTCAAAAGTTGAACATCAATCACTAACTAATATCTAATATTGTTTAATAAGAATAGAATGTGGTGGATGTAAACTTTTACATGATTATGCTCCCTCAAGATTCTCTTTTTGTAAAGGTCAATCTTCTATGACCCAGGGAATCACAATTGCACTTTTTCTTAGATTAATGTACAATTCTTTTTCTTAATTAATGTACAATTCTAAAAAATATATTTTGATTTAGTTAAAAATTTTGAATTTGATTTTTATTAAGAGAGGAGGCCTCTTTCAACATAACTAGGAATTCTGCTGTGAATCAAATAATATTAAATTTTTTGAGAAATGAATTATTTATTTGTCTTATGCACCTCAAAAAGTTAGTCTCTACAGTAGTTACGTGTAGATATTTGATTTATAAAAAAAATTAACAGACACTATTTATCATCAAAGTCGATCTTATACAGGAACAACAAACTTTACTTTACTATACAAAATTTCAAATTTTAAAAAATATAATTTTTTGTTAATATTAATCGACGTTGGAAAAATGTTATTATAAAAATTTAATAAAGAAAAAAAGGTTATAATAAAAATTCAATATATAAAAAAATAAAATTGATTAAAAATCAAAATAATTATAATTATATTTTTGATATATTATTTTTAATTATTATAACTATATATATATATATATATATATATATATATATATATATATATATATATATATATATATATATATATATATTTATTTATTTAATTTAATTTAAATTTAAATATAATTTTTAAATTAGAACGGAGCCTCATAGTAGATTGAGCAGACTTTATCTACCGCTTACATTTTACTCAATTTTAATATCTTTAATTACATATTAATTAAGAAGCGTGATTTGATACTCAAATAAACCAACTATATATAAAAATTTTGCTAATGATTTGTACATGAAGAGAATTTGTTAAGAATATACTAGTATACAATGTATTTGGCCAATCTATAAACATAAACACAAGTTAATTTCCTTTTTAAGTGTACAAGTCTAATTTGGTATTCTACCATTGATTCTTCAACACGATGTGTTTCTGTAGTGTAGTTTGGTACACACACACTTCCACTATAAGTATATTCTTAGTTCCTAATTAAGTCTTGAGTAGACGTTTCTGGTGCATATGGCACTTCCAATTTGTGTAGCAAATATGAGAAATTAAGTAAGATATTTGTGATGTAGATATTTATTCTCTGGCTGAATCTGAATGTGTAGATATGTTAGTAGTAAAAGTGCAAAGGATCTTGATGAGAGTGCGCACAAAAGAAAGGTATGTGGACCCTTTTGCTTCATTCTTAATGAATATGATTATAGATCAATTTGCAAGTTTTCTTCAACGCATAGGGTTGGCTCCTCAAGCCAGGGAAGTTCATAACCACTGAATTCTAAATGGAGATCACTCCCACTAAAGAGCACTACTTGTCTTGTCTTATTGGCTTTTTTAATTTCCAATCTCACCACTTGTGAGATCATAAATGAAAAAGTGTTACCAAAATATTTTTATACCATATGTATTTATCAACTTCATTTCATTCATGTATTATAGGCATTTAAAATGATTTTTTTATAGTATAATATATTTTTGTTGAATTTTTTTTTACAATTCTTTAAAAAATATTTTAAATAAAAAATTAGTTTAAATATTATTTTAGATATTTTTTTATTATAGCTTTTTTTTTTTTCATATCAAAGCTTCAAAAAATCACTTAAGTTTGAAGCTTTTTTAAATAGTTTTTTATAAAAGTTATTCTTGAGATATATCTTCTTAAAAAAATTGTGATTTTGACTATATTTTGATCTTTAATAATATATATTTATGCTATAAAATGTCAAAATTAATCTTTTAATTTTTAAAAATCAAATTTAAAAAATTTATAATATTGTATCTAAGATTGAAACATCATACCCAATTATTTTTGTAAGATCGAGAAGGGGTTGCAAGATCTTAAAACATAAGATCTTAATAAAAATCATAAGATCCTACTAAAACAAAAAAAATAATATATTTGAAGTACATTTACATGATATTTAGGATGACACGTGTATTTGTAGGAAAATGACCCTTTTTCATATTTTTGTTAGAGGTTAGAGACATATTTAAAACAAACCTACAACTAAGAAAATTATTCTCTAAACTCTAAAATTAAAACTTCGTCACTTCAAAAGGCAAGTATTCATCTCCGTCGAACAATAATCTTTGTGCTTCTACATCTTATCATCTTTCTTAACATGTGATGGCAATGACCGGTAAATTATCAGTCATGGTCGGAACTGGCCAAGATCACACAAAATCATTGATTTATAATTTTTTTTCCACAATTTGACTATATCGCACAATTTTACCTAAGATCAATATTGTCAGGTGAATAGATCGCATAATCGTAACGTTTTAAGATTTAGATCGAGATATTGCCAACCATAAATTTATCAACCAATCCTCTCTCCTATGAGAAAGATGGCTCCTAAAATTGGCTTAGAACCATTCCCAAGATAAACTCTTGATTTTATCTATTATATCTAAATTGATCATAATCTCTCCCTTGAAGAAAATGTTGTTCCTACACATCCATAACACCCAACAAGTCGTTGACCAGATAAAGCTCCACAGATTCCCAAGAAATTCCCTTCTGATTCGGGTGCAAAAAAGATAAAAATGATCAATATAATGGAAACACAATCTTCCTCCATAGTGACGTTAACCATGAGATCATCTTATGGCACACTGCTCTACTAACTAGACAATTCTCCCACCCATTGACATTTGTCGACCCTTCCATAAAAATAATATATTTCTCACCTTATTTACTATATACTCCATGCTTCCTTCCTCTTTGGATTCACTCCAAAATTTATACCTAAAAAGTTGAAAGGAATACTTCTAATAGCATGAAATCTACCTTCACCAGCATGCATTATTTCTTATTTATAAGGCCATAGTCTAACACTTCATTTACTATCAACCATCATGAGTGTGTCTATCAAATAAGAAAGTTATCTGATTTTAGAAACCAGTTTTCCATTAATATTTGGATTCTAGAGAAAGAAAATATATTTTGGAGATAGTATTTACCACGAAAATCGAAAGTTTTAGAAAGTCGAACGAAAAGTCGGAGAAAAAAATCATTCAGTGAATAGTGTTATCCGTACAGATGAATAATGACGTTTGTACGGATAAATAGTGTGTTCGTAGGATGAATAGTGTTTTCGAGTTTTCATACTTTTTCGATTCTGTTCATGGATCCATATGATTTTACACTTTATTTGTTGGGTATTTGCTATTATAAATATGTATCTCTTATATGTTTGGTGTGTGACAATCTTAGAGTTTTCACCAACAATGGAGACCAAAGGTTTAAAGGTATAACATAGGATTTCAGCTAAAATAGGGTTGTTCTTGGGCGCCTTCAGGGTTGTTTTTGAGAACCTGAAGGCGAAGGCTATTTTCTTGTAACTCATCTGTAGTCTCTTATAATAACTTTCTGAGTATAGTGAATTAGAGAGCTGCTCTCTCTCCCAAAGTAGATCGTTTGATCCAACTGGGTAAACAAATCTTTGATTTTTTCTTGCCTTATTCTGTTATATTATTTGTGTAAGGATTATTATTGCTGAAGAACATTTATTTTGATTACTATTGTTCTTTGTCTCACAAATTGATATTGAATTTTGTCGTAATTCACAACAGTTATGAATATGAGAAAATTGTTGGGATAACTTGAAAGAAGAAGAGAATGATGGAGAGAGATAAAAATAAGACTTAGGCTTAGTGAATTGTATAGAGAAAAACTAATTGATTGAGATTATCCAAATGAGTTACAAGATTAGCCTATATATTGAAGTAGAAATCAACTGATTTTTAACTAACTTCATAGGCTTATATAATTGCCTAAGATCTTTGGACTAACTTGTGTTACAAGTAATTAACTTCCAACACAAGTAAACTTCATATTAATCATGAATTATATTAACAACACTCCTCCTAATTCATGTTTGCTCTCTTTTCATTTCAATCAGTTCTTTTAGGCAATCAAATCTTAATTTTCAAAGGTTTGGTTAGGATGTCTGCAAATTATAATTTTGTCTTGTAATACTCCATGTCCAATTTTTTCATTCTCATTTGGTCTTTTAAGAAATGATACTTTCTCTTAAAACTCTTTCTTATACCATGACTTATTAGATGCTTCTCCAAATCAATTATCATTCTCAATCAAATCTTAATTTCCAAACCAACACTCTTGAAAATATCTGACCATGTGTTCATGGGAGGATTCAGACATTACATATTGGTTTGGGCGTGTGGCTAAACATGAAAAAAATTCTTAATTAAATTATATTGAAAATAAGAAATAATATTTTTAAAACAGTATATTTATAATGAAAATCATCAACCAAATATGAAAGATTTGCTAATATAAAAGTGAGAAAGAAACTTGAGAGGTGGTGACAGTGTTACAAAAACCAGATTGGACCGGACAGTAAAATTAAAAATCGAAAGAGTCATTGATCTGATTTAATTGTTGGAATGAATAAGCTATTAAATTAGTGAGAGTCGACCATAACCAACCAATATAGATAAAAACCGACGAGCCAATGATTTTTTAAAAGCGACAGATTAAATGCTTGTTTTTTTTTATATAAAAAATGACATTGTTTTGATAATATTTTTAAAAAATAAAATAATATATAAGTAGATTTTGTTTAAAATTTATTTAGAATAATTTTTTCTCTTTAAAATTAAATTTATTAGAGATTATACTTATTTGTTACTTAATTTATGTCGCAATTAAACTTTGTTCAAAATTTATTTAGATTTTTATTTTGTACTATTTTGTTGTATGTGATGATTATGTTTTAAATTTGAATTTAAAGAGTGAACTTG